CTATGTGGGGGCTCATACCCTCACTCTCGAGAGGCCACACACTGTGTGTACCTGCCGGAAGATGGCTTTTGCCTCCGGCACCTTTGTTAAGATGACTAGGGTAAGATTGAACCTTTTGCCCGTTCTACTGTGCATTTTGTGCACGGGGAAACCTTCTACGGGGAAACCTTGGGACTTAAGATCCTCAAGGATTTCCTCGTTGGAGAATTCGAAGAGGACGCCTCGGATGACGGCCCTGACTTTCGCTCTTCCGGAAGAGCATAAGTGTGGTAGGAAACTCGTTCAGCTGTGAATAGCCTGGTCAGTTGACGGAAGTCATCGATTGAATTGGGGATGATTTTAATAGTCTCCCCGAGGTTGATGGCGTGGTCATATTTAATACCTGCGTCGTAGCAGGCTTTTGATAATTTAGTGAATTTTGCCTTGTCTCTTAGGAAGACAGGGGGCGGGACTTGCTTCTTGGCAAGGACTGGAGCACATCGAGAGACTGGCTTGGTCGTAGCGGGGATGTCTAGTGACATAAGTGGGACCACGGCAGCGGCGGTGGCTGCGGTGGCAGAGGCGGCAGCGGGAGCTGCGGAGGTTGTAGGAGCGGCAGGGGCCGCTGAGACGGGGAGCTTGGAGTTCACCGTGGTGAATGAGGAATCTATGGTTCCATCGGAGTCACAGGATTCCGATGAACCGGTGCCAGAATTGGTGGCGAGCCTCTTCCGGGAGGCCGACGCGGAGGACTTTTTCTTTTCAATAGATACATAACGTCAAAAAATCTTAAATGAACTTATACAATATTATTTTACACTATTATATTCAAAGATAGAATTATTTATATTAGAATGTTTTAGTCGGGTAGATGACATTTATATTAGCTGTCGAAATGAAACTTCTTTAAATATTGTGTATAGTATACACAAATCATTGACATGTAGTCAATTAAACACCTTATGTACGCTATTCACGATCAAGTTTACTAACCAGTTTGACGCTTGATTCAGTGAGCTTGATCGGAAATGGCTGTTCGTTTGCATGATAAGTCTTTTTGAAGCAAAAATCGAATTTCCATTCTGCCAACTTAATCAAGTTTATAACGTCATGCATACTTGAACGTGATTTCGAAAAATTATCTGTGTATTTTAATTTAAAAAAAATAGGTAATTTAAAGTAATAATTAAAACTGAACAAGTATTCTTCACACTACTTAAAGAAGCATATTCAAATTATATGGTACGGTAATTCATTAATGATATAGTATAATCTAGTAGTAGTAACAACTTAATCTGATAATTACGAAAACTACTACATAGGTACGTATACAACATGTAATATGATTAACGCACATCCTGAAAGTAGTTTGTTCAGAATCGTTTACTGTATCGATTTCTATCTTTTTAATATAGGTATTTTTTAATCTCAAAAATTATCAAAACTACGTAAATTACAGTCACAATAAACCTGTACAGTCAAAACAAAATGAAATGGACCATAACTCAAGACTTTTAAAAGAGCAGTTATGATTAAAAGAGTAGTTATATTTGTATTAATACAAATTCATTCGTCATTCAATACAAAATAAAGAAAAATTAACCTTATTTCAAGAACGTTAAAGTCTTTGTGTTCGTGGATATGTACTGTGACCACAACATTCTTCCGGAATTAGTACAACTAATTTAATAAATAATCAATGCATAACTATGTTTAACTAAAAAGTCAGTGTGTGAAATCGATTCAGTAAACGATTCTGAACAAACTACTTTCAGGATGTGCGTTAATTATGTTACATGTTGTATAACATCATTTTCTCGTTGTCACAGACTATACTGTTTATTTACTGTTAATTAATGTGTTTAGTTCTCTTTGAAGTAAAATTAACTTAAAAATAAGGTTCGAATTTTAATTACTTATTTTGAAAGCCCTGTAGTTCCTTGAGTTAGAGCTGTGGTAGCTCAGATGGTTAGCACTCGCTGTAAATTTCACAGTACGCGAGCAAACCGGGTTCGATTCCCGCCGGCACCAATGAAATTGTTAATTGCAATTTTAAGTGCTGATTTACCACGTGCTCGGAGGTGAAGGAAAACATCGCGAGGAAACCTGCATGTCAGATAAGGAAGAAAAAAGAAATATTTCGAAGACATGTGAAGTTCGCCAACACGCATTGGGGCAGCGCGGCGGACAATTCCTTGCCCTAAAACCCTCTCAGAAATGAGAGGGAGGCCTATGCTATTATTATCTAGATGTTAGTGCTGTTATTCTATGCGACTCTTACAGCTTCATCTGTCTCAGGGCTCTAATTAAAGATGGAAAAGCAATGAGGTGAGTATGATGATGAAATGGTTTATGATTTGATATTGTTACCAATCATCATGTCGCCTTTTTAGGCTTTTTTCTTTGAGCTATCTAACCGCAGTCCGAGAGGGGGAGTGTGAACCCCCGTCTCTGACTGCTCAGCAGGCCTGTGCTCAGCAGTTGGACGTATATAGGCTGTAATTTTTTACTTTTACTTAGTTCCTTTTTTGTTTGATAATTAATCGAATTGAAAATTTTACGCATCATTCGTCTTTATCCCTCCATCAAATCGATGCAGCAAATTACTAAACTACGAACACAATAACCCAAATCCAAGAAGTCATATCAGCTAGTGAAAAAGCGCTCGTATTATTAAATAATTAAGGACGATATTTCGATCAGCAAATAATCTATTAATAGATAAAAATATGACTTGTTCTAATGAGACTATCCAATTTCAAAAATTATTAAAATTTGTTCTTTGGTTACATAAAATCAAATAAAGTTTAATCAATAATAGTTATTTTTGACAACTTTTGCAAAGAAAACATAAAGATTACAATATAATATCTTAACAATGGTTCATTTTTTCCTCTTTATTAAAATATTTTTTACAGTAGATATTATGTTTAAAGCTATTTACAAAGAATAGTAAAAGCTGCACTGTTTATTAAAATAGAGTACTTAGTTAACGAGTGACGGAATAGGTTTTGAAAATGCTTTCAAATTTTTACTTGACTTTTTAGTAGCATTAAAAAGTCATTTTTTGTTTTTTTATATTCCGTGTCTTAGTTACGCTGTCATTTTTAGACCGATGCTTTTTACATTCGTAATACGACCATTCTGAATACCAAAACAAGAAAATTTTAAATCCCGTAACTCGCTAAATAAACCATATCAATTGTCTACTACTTCAACGGTTTCAACTCGTTGGGATTACTTTGAACGCATAAACCTACCCTGTGACTATTATATACTACTATATAGACATCAACTTGCATACAATATATAAAATAATTATTATTACATTATAATCTATGTCTATAACGATCCTTCTATTTAAAGGGATGTTAATAGCACAACTTTTCGATAAAGTGTAAGCTTAATATTGACACATTTTACAAAAGTGGGCTGCCGTTTTTCTATTCAATTCAAAGTAGCTAATCAACTAATTAACTGTAGAATTATAACTCATGCTCAACAACCATCAACAATCATCAACTAATGCAAAGGGGTCTTATGCGAGATATTGATCACAAGCACACTGATATTTTATATAATATTAATATTGATTTAGAGAGTAGATTTTGTTACTTAAATGTGGTGCAATTTTGTGCAATAAATGCATGCGTCTATGAAAAAAATAAAGGCAACGATGAGTGTGCCGATGTTAAAAAAAACAAGATATTTAATCCGCTTTGGCGCGTTCACCTCTGTCTGGTCGAGTTGCTGTCAAAAGCTCTAAAAAACTTGTTAAGAATTTCGTACGTTTAATTTATATCACTATGGCTACAATTATAATACATTTAAAAAATTTTTTGTGTCACAACGCCTCATAGCATAAATAAAACGAAATGACTTCATAGCATATAGATTTAGAGAAGCTTTTAGTATTTTTGCACTAACAAAGAAATCCAAAAACACAACAAGGGCAAATCCAAAATTGTCACGAGAGTGTGTAAAACTTATGAAGATTTTATCAAAGAGGAAATAGCGGAAAATATATTTCAACAAGGTTTGACAGCTTGTGTCGAGAGGACGTTAATCGGTTTTATGATTTACTGTTCTAATTCCACAGATTATATCGAAAAATAATATAAATGCACGTTTTTACGAAATAAAATATATATTATTAAATTAATGCTCGTGTTGTTTTAAATGAAACTGGAATGAAATCAATACTTAAATGATACATACGTACTTATCCATGACAAACACTCGGAGGAACACGTTATTGTTAAAGACTATGACTATCAATATATGAACAGAGACAGTTGTAAAGCTGTCATTATTTTTAGAATGTGTACACACAAAATGCAAGATACATACAACACATTACACTACTAGCCGCCATGGAAACGATTCACAATTTTACACATATACAAGTTCACAACCCTCTCAGAAATGAGGGGAGGCCTGAGCCCAGCAGTGGGACGTATATAGGCTGTAACTTTACTTTTTTACTTTTACAAGTTCACAAAATTCAATGCGTTTAAAAAAACATGCAACCGCTAAAAATTCACATTCAAAACTTCACTCTTGAAGTATATGATTAAAACATCACAAAACAAACTTTCTTCTTTCAGTAATGATCACTTGATATACAGGTTGTTTGGCGTATGGACCGACAGGATTTTTGGGGGGGGTGGAGGGGTCATACGCTACATTTCCCCGGTAGACCCTATGTCCTAAGTGTCATTGTAGCTGAGATATAATCGTTATAGGTTTGTTCGAACATCTTGCTTTTAAATCGTCATAGCTTTTTTGTTTGCGATACAACCCCCCCCCCCCTCCCTAACAAAAATCCTTTCGGTCAAAGCGCCAAACAACCTGTACAAGTAACTAGCATATGCAGTTGTTGAATTATTTTTGGTAAACCAGCGTGAATTGTTGCGACATTTAGGGATTTTGAATTTGCTTCTACTATTACTGCGTAAAACATTCGACATATTTAAGTGACGTGATTAACGTTGTTGCTTCCCTCGGTATTTCTCAGCTACCGCATCTTCTAAGTTGCTGCCGCTACGAGGAGAAACTTCCCCCAGGTGTTTCCATCGGAAATCGAAATCCGAGTCCCGCTTTTTTAACGTGTCGAATCTACAAAGGAAATTGATTATTAAATATACATAAATAACATCCATAAGTTCTTTTGTGGTAAATAAATAAGAAACAGAAAAAATTTTAATAACATTATGAGATTATCCTATGTTGATTTAAAAAGTATAAAATTTTTCATATGCTTAACTCATTTTTTTTAATTTTTTGTAAGATATCAGTGCTATAGTGTGCCATAGGCTATTATTATATATTATATATAATAATAGTCTATGGCACTATACCTATTTTTTTCCACACAATAGAACAAGCAATAATTTGAGTGTTTTTTTTTTTGTATCGCTGTTCTAGTGGTCGTAAACGCGAATCATCCCGGGTTCAAATCCCGGGTCGGGCCAAAATCAATTATTAGGTTTTTTTGTAAAGAAATTTTCACTAGCAGCCCGGATTCAGAAAGTTAGCGGTGTTGAACTCGCGTGCCTTAAAAAGCACGTACAGCCATTTGGTCGTCGCCTGATCACTCTCTGATCGTGTCAGCTAGCCGTTCCATCGGTCTATGAGATGAGGTGAATAAAGAGTGCACCTGTCCTTGCGTATACACTATAATCCAGTCTTGTGCAGATGACAAGTTTCGTTTAAGACTGGCCGCCGTGACCGAAATAATTTGAGTTCCACACAACTGAGTAATGAACCTTTTTTCTACATCGGGATCTCCTGTCGGCGCGTCTAATGCCATCGCTTGAGCAAAATCGCTTTTATCAAATAGACGTCGACATCGATTGTCGTTGACAAATTGATAGACCAATTGCAACGTAAAAGAAGTTTAACCATTTATATATATATTTTTTTGTATTATACAGGATTTGTATGCTTTGTAAACTCGACAGAGCTTATATAAAACAATATTAGGTCTTTACCAATAAAATTACCGTTTTGTAACGTCAAACCGTAATAGATGGTTTCATTTGGAGTTCTGAATACAAATAAATGTTATACGTATTTAACAGACGCCAATCAAATAAGTTATTCATATATAATAAGTCATTATTTCAGACTTTTTACACTCATTTCAAATACCACTAAATGTGAAAAACAAAATGAAAATATAATTATAAGGATACAATAAATAAAAGACAATTCAACTGAAACCATCAGTTTATACTAAAATTTCCCCCAAAAGGGGGTTCGAACTATCTATTTATAGTTATTGTCGCAATGCACGGCACACCAATATTTTAGTATGGGATTCTCTGGGCACTCGTAGCACACCCTGAGGATCTCGTTCCCGGAATCGCGGATGCGAGACCAAAAACCTGCAACCCGAGATCTAATTTGCTTTCTTATGATTTTTTGGATGTTTTTGCAATATCGTACAATATATATACCATCTCGTGTATTTTTGAACATGAGTTCCGACCTGAAAGCAATGCATCTCAAACGGTACGCAATATCCATTACGTATACGTATCTAGCACTACTAATGAACGAACTGGCCATTATTGGTTCAATTACTTTCGTTCGGGATATTTCGACCTCAAATGTACCTCGCGGCCGCCCGAAAGAAGAAAGTTGATAACGACGACCTGTAGGCAATAATGAAAGTGGATCCGTCTCCAACCACGGCTGCGCTGGCGACGGCTTTTGGTTTAAGTTTCAAAACAATGTTAGATCATTTACGGCAAATCGGTAAAATAAATAATCTTGACAAATGGATGACAAGCTGAGCGCTTACGAACTAAAACAGCGAGAGTACCGCGATCAAACTTGCATCATATTGCCGAATTAAGGATGGGATTTCGCGTGGAATTGTTAACTGCAATGAGAAGTGAATCGCATGAGTGTACGACCATTGCAAATATTCTTTACAGTAATTAGATCCAGGCCAATCAGTGACTTAATACGAAAGGTTAGCCAGAAGAAGATTACGGTGGCAGTTTGTTGGTCTTCTGTTGGGTCTGTTGACCGTTTTGTCAACCATTTCAAATGATAGTAGTGATGATGGCCCTCAAAGTACCCAAATTGGTGAATTGCTTTTTGCCATTGTTTTTCCGTGACTACACCCGCGGTCACATACTGCACAGTAGAAATTAAAATTAGCAGTTTAGAGCGGGAGACGATATTCACTACTATATCCTATCCACTATATTCTCCAGACCTTGCGAACAACAAACTGCTCATTAAATGGCAAGAATGTATTGTTAGATTAGGCAATTTTTTTGTGAAAAACAATTTAAATTTTCTTCGGCAAAACGGCAATTGCATAGGTAAAGTCCCCGTACTATTATCAACTTATTATTATTAAAATTTAACTATCGAATGAATAATTTTACTTGAACGATTGTAATGATTTCTTATATTTACGCAAACACTACACGTTGAACTAAACTATTTTACGGATTTCATCGGCGACATTTCGGATGCATTACAGCACTCATGGTCACGACTATTTGTCCGATCTACGCAGAATGAGCTATATTCTAAGGTATTGTATTTGGGTTTAGTTTGAGAACTAACTCCGGTACAGTACTCCGGGTGAACTTTGACCTCGGGAAATTAATTGACGCAGTCCCCCCCCCCCGTCATTACCGTGACCAAAGGGGTTTTTTATAGAAGAGAGGACAAACGAGCATACGGTTCACCTGATGTTAAGTGACAACCGTTGCCAGCCCTTTAGAAAGGAGTAAGCTCTTTTCTTGAAGTCCCCAGGTCGTACCGGTTCGGAAAAATCGCCGATTGTAAATTATTCTACAGAGAAGTCGTACGCTGAAAACTTGTAGTGAAACGTACAGTGGTGGACCGCCAAGCATCCAGATGGTGCGGATGGTATCGGAAGGTTTGCCTCGTAGTGCGTTCATGAAATTTGGTGGCTGGGATTAATCCGAACAATTCCTCAGAGCACTCCCCGTGATAGATGCGATAAAATACGCAAAGAGATGCAACATCTCTTCGCAGCGCCAGTGAATCGAGCCGATCGGAAAGCACTCGGTCGTCGAAGATTCGAGCCGCTCTGCGTTGGATGCGGTCAAGTGGAAGGAGAGGGTACTCGGGAGCCCCAGCCCAGAGATAGGAACAGTATTACATGTGCGACCAAACCTGTAAAGTTGCAGCATGAAATACTGTCCCGCTCTGCTGAGCACGCCAAGCTTTTTAGAGGACAATTAGGCCTTCTCTTCCAAGTGACCACGAAACTGCACGTCACTCGATATGTCAACGTCGAGGATTCCGATACTGGCTGAGGTAACAAGAAAGGAATAGGTGCTGTAAAACACCCGAAATATCGGAAATTAAAATTAAGTAAATTAAACGCGTTAAAATCCGTAAATATAGTTTTATTGAATGATTACAATAAAGAAACACAAAAACTATTTGCTTTAAAGCACACAAACCTCTTGAACATCAAATTCTTAGCGAACTCATACAGCTCCAGATCGAGCGAGTTGAGTCGCTTGATGTGCGCGATCTGAGCGAGCGACAGCGCGGCCATAGTCGCACCCGACACGGTCGCGTAGTGCTGCGTCAAAGGTACAGCGAAACGCAGGTTGAACGTCTCCTCGAACACGTACTGGGATATCTGAGATAAACAAACAAAAGAAAAACAATGTTTATTGTAACAGAGCTGTAGCGCCTTTTAAACAAACGTTCGGCATCCTGGACCAGCTACATGGATCGGAGATTTTTAAGACCTTTTTTTATAAATGTAAGGTCAACAAACGAGCACAAAGTTCACCTATTGACAAGTGGATATTGAAGCCCCTTTAAAATTAATAACCAAAATACAGATGCATCATCATTCTTGAATAAGACTGAATGCCCTGTCAAAAAAGAGTCTCCGGTATCCGTCACTCACCATACGAAACAAAACGCATTTTGCCTTTTCATGCTTATATTCTGTGCGTGCATTGTAGCTCTACCACGCACGTATACCCACCAGAAAAGAAGTCCAGTTTGACACAAACGTTGAAGGTTATGGGTTTCATAGATAAAAAAGTTAGATATCCTAACAAGTGCATATTTAATATAGAGTATATATAGTAGATATTATTGTATATCCCTTAAACTATAAAATTATTAGAGGAATTCAAACAGTCTTTTTGATATTGAATTTACACTTTTGCAAGTGCTTTTTGCAAAGTTATATTCAAATAGGTTAATTAAAGTGTTCTATGCCTATCAAAAAATTTAATATTTTCGAAGACATGTGAAGTTCGCCAACACGCATTGGGACAGCGTGGCGGACTTTTTCTTCTTCTCCAAAATGAGAGTTAGCCTCTGCCCAGTAGTGGGGCATACCATGCGTGGGTGTAGTGTTCGCGTAAATTTTAGAAATCAAAAGCATTTCAATTAATACATTCAGACGTTTCTGCGCGAATCTTAGCAAATTATATCTACAATTTAAAAGCTAGTGACTTAATGATAATACACAGAGAGAGATTTGCCACTATTTTGAAAGTAAAGTATATCGCACGTTAACAAATTTAGTGCACTAAAATGTTATTTTGAAAAAAAAAACTTTTTAAATCTTTTATTTTATAAGTAATACAATCGACAAAAATATTAAGTTTTTATATTACACTTAAAATTATATATTATGTATATAATTTAAAAAGACAATCTAAAATATACAACCATTATTATTGTATAATTTGAACGTGATACACTTGCTATTTACTAAGTGACAAGTTTATTCAATAACGAACTACTTTGCATCAGACAAGTCGGATACGTGTTGTCATTTGACATCGGGAATTGTCAAGATTATTAAACTCTGTCTCGAAATGTGATAATTTGATTGAAAATCGATTACCGCTAGCAAATGCAAGGCGAAATTTCCTTTATGCATTACTAAAGGAATTCCGTTGTTTCCATAAAATTCACATAACTAATCGAAGACTAGAAATTTATGAAAGTAAATGACAAATACATGTCTGCATCATAAAGTATATAAAAATGAATTGCAGTCCGTTAGTCTCGCTAAAACTCGAAACTGGCTGGACCGATGTTGACGAATGTTTTTGTGTGTATTTGAGTGGGTTCCTAGATGGACCCGGTAGGCGGCGCTGTTGTCGAGATATAGAAATCTCCCGTGCGAAGCCGGGGCGAATCGCTAGTCATTTACATAATTAATGTAAATTTAAAATAAGATACAACTACTAATGTATATTGTAACCTTAATAATCTTACTTAAGCGAATTCTGTAAGTTCAATTGACAAAGATATAACATACATAAAAGACATACGTCGAATTGAGAAATTCCTCCTTCTTTTGAATACATTGGCTACTCATTTAAGAATCAAAATGCAGATGTGTTGTGACCCCTGAGGACTGAGATGGAACGCATCGTTTTTAGTAAAAAGGGTATCCGGTTATCTACTATTACCATACGAAACACAGCACCAAGAAGTTGCTAATTTATTTTGGTATTCAGTGAGAGCATGGTCCTATCATGGTAGAGCCGACCTGTATGCGCTACAACCATAATGTATATAAATATTACACGAATAAGAAAATAACTTAAGCAATACGATAGAGAAATGTAAAAATTACTCTTATGGGTTACTACGTATTATATAATATTACGCATTCGTACTATAACATTATTTTCAAAAGTTATATTCCATTCCCACTCTCATGCTAGTGGCTTAAAGCAATTTTAGACGAAGCAATTTACCGTACAGCGCGGAAATTTATTTGAAGTTATACAGCAGTAATGTTATAGCCCGGAGTATTTTGTTTGCTCTAACGAATTTCGGGGAACCAAGTTATGAATGTTTACACCATACACACTGGAAAGTGCTTAGAGTACTCTACCTTCGCTTAAATCTCCAATATTTCGTAATCCATCAACATTCAACGAAAACATTTGTTTTTATAATCTTTTTGGTCATGTAATCACAATAAATGCGAACGCTTTATATATTCTGTAAGTATATTTACGTATATAATGCGTTCACCCACATGGTAGACCTTTACAAAACCTTACAATTCAACTTGGAGACTTTTAAATTTCCATACTTGGATTTCAGAGTTTTCAATATGTAATGACTATTTTAGGACTTGAGGTCTTGTACTTTGGGCAAAGCTTGGAATGGTACGCCAGGGTTTGAGGAAATGTAAATAACTGTCATTATTTCTAGTATGATAATCTACGCTGATATGGTGAGTGATTTGTATTAAAGCTAATTCCTGGATTCTACTACTTCATCAGCTCGCTATAATAATATAGACTTCCAGATCGAATCTCTAACTAAATCTTCTAACTAACTACTAGCCGTCCGCGCGGGACGGGTTATAATGTGTGCGCAAGCACAGGTGCACTATCTACTCACTCTCGTAGTACTGTGGGGCGGTAACTCAACAAGTCGGGCACAGGACCAACGCTTCACGTGATTGCCTTGTAAAAGGGGTTAAACAAGTGTTCAACAAGCAGTCGCAGTTGTGACCATTAGATTAAAGTCGCAATCATAAACAGCCATCAGTCCGTAAACAGGGTACTGCTAGGCGTGAGTCTTTCCATTGTAAAAAAATGCCCTATAGCTTGGGATCCGCTAAGAAGCAGGCTGATTTTGCTCGTATGTCCTAATTCCTCTTCTGCTCCTGTTAATTACATCTGGCATCTGATATGTTTCAGCCTGAATACCCGATGTATTCATACAGCAGCAGCCAGGCGATGTTCCTAGCATTTTGTATGGTCTACTCTACTGTACCCAAAGGACGAGATCGACTGATGAATTCTTTCACGCCATCAACACACAGACTATTCCTTCACGACAGAATTATCTTCACCCTTCGTTTTATTTTAAAATCAATACAAAACATCTAACTATGTAACGAAAGAGCAATTAGCCAGAACAAATTTTAACTTCCATCGAACCGTTTACGACAAATCTTAACAGTAGAAAATCCATTTGTCGGTCACTGAAGGCAGTGTCTGGGAGCAGTACGTACACGAACAGAGGCTATGTTTAAAGCTAAGTTATTTCTAGTATGATAATCTACGCTTATATGGTGAGTGATTTGTATTAAAGCTAATTCCTGGATTCTACTACTTCATCAGCTCGCAATAATAATATAGACTTCCAGATCGAATCTCTAACTAAATCTTCCAACTAACTACTAGCCGTCTGCGCAGGACGGGTTATAATGTGTGCGCAAGCACAGGTGCACTATCTACTCACTCTCGTAGTACGGTAGGCGGTCACTCAACAAGTCGCGCGCAGGACCAACGCTTCACGTGATTGCCTTGTAAAAGGGGTTAAACAAGTGTTCAACAAGCAGTCGCAGTTGTGACCATTAGATTAACGTCGCAATCATAAACAGCCATCAGTCCGTAAACAGGGTACTGCTAGGCGTGAGTCTTTCCATTGTAAAAAAATGCCCTATAGCTTGGGATCCGCTAAGAAGCAGGCTGATTTTGCTCGTATGTCCTAATTCCTCTTCTGCTCCTGTTAATTACATCTGGCATCTGATATGTTTCAGCCTGAATACCCGATGTATTCATACAGCAGCAGCCACGCGATGTTCCTAGCATTTTGTATGGTCTACTCTACTGTACCCAAAGGACGAGATCGACTGATGAATTCTTTCACGCCATCAACACACAGACTATTCCTTCACGACAGAACTATCTTCACCGCTCGTTTTATTTTGAAATCAATACAAAACATCTAACTATGTAACGAAAGAGCAATTAGCCAGAACAAATTTTAACTTCCATCGAACCGTTTACGACAAATCTTAACAGTAGAAAATCCATTTGTCGGTCACTGAAGGCAGTGTCTGGGAGCAGTGCGTACACGAACAGAGGCTATGTTTAAAGCTAAGTGCAAATAAATGGCAGCACTTATCTATAACACGGGGTGGATGCATCACATCACGTTATATGAACGGCGATGCTTCTATTTTCGTTCAGTTTACTCAACAGTTAAACTAAAATGTAAACGTCACGTTTTAGCCTAAGTCACATGAGTATGCGTGTGCATTCTTCATTAGAGAAGTCATCCGATTCGCTTCTAATGCTTCGTTATATGTTGATTGAAACGATTCGACACTATTCGGCCAGCACAGTGTAACGTCGAAACACAGGCGCACAGGCATCCTAGACTTCCTGTATACTGTATAATAAAAAACTATTTCGGTTCTATTACAAAATGTGATTTACTGATAATCTCGTGTTCTATTGTTTACAAAAAAATTTTTTGGCGATTGAAACCTAAAACTATCGATAAACCGCAATGTCAATAATATCTTTCATCAATAATATCTATGTTGTTAATGATTTCTGATATGCTTTTTCAGAAAGAGCTTTTAAATTATTTTTGCTTTTTGAATTCTCAATTAAAGGTACCCCTCACATAAAAGGCAAATTATTTATAAACGCCATCCTAAGCAAGAAGTACAGCCATTTCGCCACTTTATGCTACGAGGATTGGTCAAAAACTTCGCAGAATGGAAGGATTAGAGAAGAGAAGGAAAATTTTTTGAAGTGAAAACTTGGACACTTTTGGAATGGGGAGAAAGTATATACCGTGTGACCATGTGACGGTTACGCTTAGATAAATGTACGGGTTGACATTTCTCATCGTCTGAAAAAAAAGGATGTAACATGTGAACAGAGTAGAACAAAATGTGTTTTCGTAAAATTAAAAACAATGATTTTGAATTACGTAAATAAATTAATAAAAATCTATCGAAATTGAAATCATATCCATCCAACTTTACGAACGGCAATAAAACAATAAATTTAGTAGGCATTTTTGGCCTTCTCACTTCGCGGGGTCACTAGCTCAAGGGTAAAGGGAAAAGTAATTGTTCAAATTAGACAAAAAATATATGTGTACCATATATATATATATATATATATATATATATATATATATATATATATATATATATAATAAATTGAGATTATTAATTAAATAGTAACTTATTCGCTAAACATGATATAATTATAACTTGCATATTATTTTAGTTCCATCGCATGATTTGGTGATCTTGACAACTTCACATATAAATTTCAAAAAAGAAAATTGTATAACAAACTTATAATATATTAGAGTTATATATGTATGTTCGTTATTCTTATACACCATGATGATGCCATGAGGTGAAACCAGTCGGTTTTTGTAGTTAGTAAATTAATAATTTTAATAAACACTATGAACATATACACTTGTACTTGACAAGTGATTATCCAAATCACAAAATGAAGCTGGAAATTCACCAAGTGACTACAATCGCAAGTTTTAAATATTATGGAGTAGAGCCTAGATAATCCGAACCCCCGATAATTCGGACGTCTCTATAATCCAAACGTCCCCCTGCTCTAGTAGGTATTTCAATTTCAAAAAAGTTATTGCTTACATTCAGGGATAAAGCATTTTCTTTGTAATTAAACACCATTTGTCAAAGTATTATACTAGATTTTATGTAATTATAATTGTTGTACATGTTGAGTAAAATTTGCATTCACTTTCAATTACAAAATCTGTTTTATTTCAAAAGAACACCTTTTATTATATTATATGTACAAAAATTTACAGTGGTCAACAGCCTCTAAACTAGGATATTATACCTGTATTTCTGGGGCTAGTTTATAAAATATCTACATACTATAATCCGAACGCCTCATTAATCCGAACAGGGTGAAAATTTTGTGTGTTCGGATTACCGAGGTCCTACTCGTATTTAATATTAAACAACCAAAGTTTGAAAGATAGAACTTTTATCTAGAAAGTATCTCAATAATATATATACTTCTTTAAAGTACAAATTCTGAGTTAGGCTATAAAAATACTTCAGTTACCTTCTGACATTCAGTAAGCCCGAAGTAGGCCATTGCGGCGAGATTTCTCTTGGCGGACGCAAGAAGAACCCTTTCTGTGTCCAAAGTTCGATGCCGTAAAGTGCCGTTATAACAGCCCACAAGGGCCAAGTCGGCCAACATGCGCGTTTGGCGATTGTTGGCCAAGTACCATGGACACGCCGCAAACTCTTCTAATGTGACACCGCGCCAAGACACGCCCGTGTAGCACGGGGGTACTTCTGACGCTGAAAACACTAATTTATATAGTACCATTGCGATGGCAAATATAAGCCTGAAATGTTTTTATAAGGGCATTAAGTTATTATTTCATATAAAATACTAACTAAAGCGGTAAACGTTGTTCTGTCCTTTCCGTAGGTAGCGCGATTAGTTTCACATTAATTAACTTCACTTAAATTAACTTCATACTTTTTACAATGTTAATATAAAGTTCATTGATACCTTGCTTGCAGCTTACCAATCGGATCATTACATAGCAATGAAGCATCATCTCTACAAAATAAAATATGTACATCTTGTGAATAGCACTACAATTAGTGAAGTCGTTCGGACACTCACGATGATCGACCGATCGACGATCGTTACACGATCACTAACACACGCGCCAATTGTTTAATGTAAAATTATACCAATAACAATATTGTTATTGTTATAGTTAATTTCTAACCTATAAAAAGTAAAGTTACAGCCTATATACGTCCCATAGCTGAGCAAGGCCTTCTCTCATTTCTAAGAGGATTTGAAGGCAAGGAAATGCCCGCCGCGCTACTCCAATGCGTGTTGGCGAACTTCACATGTCTACGAAATAATTTTTTTCATATTTCTCAAACATGCAAGTCTCCCCACAATGTATTCCTTCACCGTCAAGCACGTGGAAAATCAGCACTTAAAATTGCAATTAACAATTTCATTGGTGCCGGCGGGGATCGAACCCGGGTTGCTCGCGTACTGTGATGAAATTTACAACGAGCGCTTAAGCCCTATGCTACTACGGCTACTACTCTCTACTTTACTTCTAACATATAATAATTTAAAATATTATAGTTATTAGGGACTTGTAATCACATTTATCGTGTACCCCCGCCGTATATTTATTTTCCTATTTAACATTTTGAACAACTACTGCAACAATTCTCTTAAATAATTCACTAATAAAACTTATATATGGTCGATCGTTTAATAGAATAAGATATAATCTTAGCTTCAGCAAAGCTTGGTGAAGATAAAAATGCTATCAGAAATTCCTATATATAACATTAATATTATTTAATACTATATTAAATATGTCTCTATAATATAAAGACATATTTAATATAGTAGCATCTTCCAAGTCCCTAATATAGTAGATATATTATATCTCTTGTATTTCGGTGACATTCCAGAAGAAAGTTATGATATGTAATATCCTTTGTAGGCGTACAACTTTCGTAATTAGATGATGATGCTATTTACTTCCATTATAAAAGAATATTTGATGGAATGTATCAGGATCGTATCCTTAATGTTATGTGTACTATTTGTTGACCTAATTTAATGGCATCTTCACACTATACGAAAATGTTTGCAATGCATAATACGATATGTGTAGTAAAAGCTCTTTATTCGTCACCCGCGAATAAAGAGCTTTCACTGTATATACTTCAAAATTAAAAATGCTATGTAACTGAGATTTTTGGTATTTAATGATTTACCTATTACACAAAAAAGTAATTAATTATTTTAAATAATTGGCCGCGTAGTGGCGGTGTCAGAATATCTACTACCCCATACTATTGTACCGTGGGTGTTGTAAGACTCGACATAGAAACCAGCAGATAAACGGCGGCGTCGCCCTAATAACAACTTGAAAATAAACCGGTTGCCAACCCGTACCCCAATAGATAAAATTACCGTGCCCCAAGTGAAGCACTTCCGCTTATGACGGAGTCTACGAGGATACCTATGTACAGCAGTAAACTGTTGGTAGGATTTAACGGTAACTATACATTAGAAGTATGAAATTATAAAAGATCCTATATTATACACGTTACGGTTTGTGTAATCTCCTCAGCAGTGCGTGTGCTTGCACAGAGGCACACACTCAGCATGCAAACACAGGCAGCAGTGCATTGTGTGACTCTGATGGCAGCGTGGTCAATTTTATTTTGTCATTTGACCCTTATATATATATATATATATATATATATATATATATATATATATATATATATATATATATATATATATATATATATATATATATATATATATATATATATAACGCGCCGCTAAAACTCACGCTCCGCGAAATGCTTCCAATCTTTAGTAAAGTGCCGCGTGGTGTCTTGATAAACACATGTTGTCGTATTGCAGTGATTTAAGTGTGAAGTGAGTCTTATTGAGTCGTTTGTGTTGTGGATGGTGCAAATGCAGTATCGATGATAGAATAACAAGATTTAGACCCAAAGGCGAATATCGTTGAGTATTGCGCAATTATTTATTTTGAACCATCTTCTCTAGTACGTAGTATATATAACTCAACGGCATTGAGTTATATGTACTAGAGAAGCTATTCCAAACAAAAAATGTACACTACTCCGTATTCGCACATGCGCGGGAGACAGTAGAGTTGCGCATGCGCAGTTGATATAAACGCGCTAGAGTTGTCATAATAAATAATTGTTTATTTAGATTGTGTTGTTAATCGAGTATATATTTTTTTTAATTTTTGTTTATTTTGCATGTGTGTTAATTAATTATAAAATTATTATTGAACCCTTACCGCCACTGCAGTTAGGGATGTTATGAGACCGTCGACCCCAGTTTCTTATTATTTTTAGTTGTTATCAATAAAATGCTGATGTCCGTCACCTGTTCCATTTTCGCTCTGTGGTCTCCTACAACAGCCACGGGACGGTATGGGGTCACAGTTTAACTACTACCAGGCCTCTGTCACTCTTGCTACCTGCGTGAAATAATTACCTAAAATCGCGAGACGCCCTGGGCGTTATACGCAGTCGGGGCTAGCGCGTTGTAGGCGATTCAATGTTAAAGTTTTTTAACGTTGTTTACTTAAAAATGGTTATATATAAATACTTATTGAAATAGTTTTTGTTTAGTGTTTAGTATATTTAATTGTAGGTAAAAATAGTTGTAAAAGTTTTAATGTATTTTAAAAATGATATATTATGTATATTACCTATTTGATAAATTATAATAGCAAAACGTCGTTCCTACTATAACTGTTGCGTGGATGGATACTAAATGAAATGACCAACAAAAGACATCATTCTTTAAGTTACCGAAGAATTTTAGAAGGAAATTATGAAAGGTGAATTTATTATTTTTTTTTTTGTTAGATAGACAGCAAAAGAGAATTAAGTAATAATTTGGTCTACAGAAGAAATACCTAAGTACTTTATTACAAAAGTTAGTTAAAATTTACTTCACTATCCATCCATTTACTTACATACATACCTATACTTTTATTTTGTAATTAAAATATTTTAAGTTATAGTAACACAAAATACTGAAATTAAAACTTTGTATACTAAGAACATTTTTAACCCGGGGGCACTCGCTACTGGGTAAAAAATACCACAGAGTACTTAAATTCTAAGCTAACTTTTATTTTAAGGCGCGCGAGCAGATCGCAATTCTAGGTACCTTCAAGCTGAGACATATTCCATGCGCGTGTCACGGGGCAGCCAGTTTGCGCGCGGTGCTTAGCAACAACGGACGTATAAAGTGCGTAAGGGTAAAAATTACCCAGTAGCGACTGTTTTCGTTATATTATTTTTCGGTTTGTTAATAAACTTTTTTTGTATAAGAGCTTTTTCACGATGTCTTGTCCACTAAAGGAGAATACAATAGCACAATTGCTAGAAGAGGAAGACGATGAAGAAGAAATTGTGTCGGAAAAAGAAGATTTCGAAGAACATAGTGAGCATGAAAGTGAAACGGAGCAGGAAGCAAGTGATTCAGACACACCCTTACATTCAGAAGAAAATTTCAACTCTCATTTGCCAGATCAACAGATTGAAAATGAAGGGATTTATAAAGAATATTTAGAAGATGTGCCATTGAATTATCGTAGACTAGGGAAATTTATTGGAAAAGACAAAAGATCTGAGTGGCAAGTCCGCGAGCCACCACGGCGTGTTCGAACGAGATCTCATAATATTATTCTACACTTGCCGGGTCCCATTGGTGAAGGAAAATGTTGTTCGTCTATGTTAGAAGCCTGGGATCTTATTTTTCCAGTCTTTACTACAAAAAATAATCCACTATACAAACATGTATATTCAAAATTTGGAATCTAACTACTCAAGAGAACGTGACTGTAAGCAAACGGATATTTTTGAAATAAGAGCTCTTTTTGGATTACTTTATTTGTGTGGACGACTGCGAAGTGGTCATCTAAACACAAAAGACCTCTGGGAAAAGGATGGAAGTGGTAGCGATATATGTATTGCCGCTATGTCACGCGAAAGATTTCACTTTTTACTAAGAAGTTTACGTTTTGACGATATTCATACAAGAGCTGGAAGAAGGCAGAAAGATAAGCTGGCGGCTATAAGAGAGGTTTTCCAAGAGATCAACGATAACATAAAAAAATACAATGTTGTGGGCGAAAACGTGACAATTGACGAAAAGCTGGAGAAAACACGTGGTCGTTGCCCATTCAGGAAATATATACCGAGTTAGAAGTTTATGTTGGAAAAAATGAAGGGCCATACGATCACAGTAATTCACCAAGCCATGTCGTCAAACGTTTAGTAGAACCTATAAAAAACAGCCATAGGAATATCGTGATGGCCAACTGGTTCACCAGCTTCCCGTTGTTGCGTGATTTGTATAACGATTATGGGTTGACAGCGCTCGGAACGTTGAGAAAGAATAAGGTTGAAATTCCGCCAGTCTTTACAAATACTCATGGTCGGGAAGTTCACACTTCAATTTTTGGGTTTCAAGAAAATTGTACTATAGTGTCTTATGTCCCAAAGAAAAAAAAAGTAGTTCTCTTGGCATCCACTATGCACCATGACGGCAAAAAGGATCCCGGAGAAGAAAGAAAGCCCGAAATGATAATAGATTACAACGCGAACAAATATGGTGTCGGTCGATGTTGTGGATGAGATGTGTGTTACCTACTCAGTTGCACGGACAACCAGAAGATGGCCGTTAGTAGTTTTTTATGGGCTTTTGAACATCGGCGGCATTAATGCGTACGTTATTGTAAAAGCAAATGAAGAAAATAATGAATCTGTGAT